GCCTGTGCTTTCAGCGCCTTTTCTCGCTCCTCTTTCTCTCGCGCCGCTCGCTTGAACTGCTCGAAGCTGTCGCTCGACGACTTCGCCGCCGCCGCCGGCACCGCCGACGGGTGCTTCTGCACCAGAGAGGCCCAGGAACCCATGTTCTTGATCTTCAGGTCCTAAAAATAAACTGGGAGTTACTGGGATAGACTGGGAACAAACTGGGATCCATCAGAATGCACTGGGAACAAACTGGGAGTGACTGGGAATGATTTGGGATCAGCGGGTGCTTCTGCACCAGAGAGGCCCACGAGCCCATGTTCTTGATCTTCAGATCCTAAAAATAAACTGGGAGTTACTGGGAGAGACTGGGAACAGACTGGGATCCATTAGAATCCATCAGAATCCATCAGAATGCATCAGAATGGACTGGGAGTGACTGGGAGTGACTGGGATCAGCGGGTGCTTTTGCACCAGAGAGGCCCAGGAGCCCATGTTCTTGATCTTCAGGTCCTGGGGGAAACTGGGAGTTACTGGGAGAGACTGGGAACAGACTGGGATCCATTAGAATCCATCAGAATCCATCAGAATGCACTGGGAGTGACTGGGATCAGCGGGTGCTTCTGCACCAGAGAGGCCCAGGAACCCATGTTCTTGATCTTCAGGTCCTGGAAATAAACTGGGAGTTACTGGGAGATACTGGGATAGACTGGGAACAAACTGGGAGTGACTGGGAGTGATTGGGATAGACTGGGAGTGACTGGGACCCATCACAATGGACTGGGATCAGCGGGTGCTTCTGCACCAGAGAGGCCCACGAACCCATGTTCTTGATCTTCACGTCCTGGGGGGAACTGGGAGTTACTGGGATATACTGGGAACAAACTGGGATATACTGGGAACAAACTGGGATGCATTAGAATGCATTGGGAGTGACTGGGATCCATCAGGATCCACTGGGATCACCGGGTGCTTCTGCACCAGAGAGGCCCAGGAACCCATGTTCTTGATCTTCAGATCCTAAAAATAAACTGGGAGTTACTGGGAGAGACTGGGATAAACTGGGATAGACTGGGATATACTGGGAACAAACTGGGATCCATCAGAATGCACTGGGAACAAACTGGGAGTGACTGGGAGTGATTTGGGATCAGCGGGTGCTTCTGCACCAGAGAGGCCCAGGAGCCCATGTTCTTGATCTTCAGGTCCTGGGAATGAACTGGGAGTTACTGGGATAGACTGGGAATTAACTGGGAGTGACTAGGATGCATTAGAATCCAATGGGAATGACGGGGATCCACTGGGATCCATCACAATGGACTGGGAGTGACTGGGAATGATTTGGGATCACTGGGATCAGCGGGTGCTTCTGCACCAGAGAGGCCCAGGAACCCATGTTCTTGATCTTCAGGTCCTAAAAATAAACTGGGAGTTACTGGGATATACTGGGAACAAACTGGGAGTGACTGGGATTCATCAGGATCCACTGGGAGTTACCCCCCCACGAGAATCCCTTGGAAACTCCAGAATTCTCTCCCAAAATCAGTTCTTTTTCCACTTTTTGATTTTTTTTTTTTTGTTTTTCCCCAATTTGGGTTTTTCCCGTTACCTTTTTTGGGGCCACGGGGGTTTTGGGTTCGGGTTTCTGCCGCTCCTTCTCGGGGTTGGGCGGGGTCGGCTCCGGGGGTCGGATCACGGGTCGGGCTCCGGGACCCTCCAGGGGCTTCAGCTCCGGCCCTAAAAACCCAAAATTCACAGTTTGAACCCCAAAATCGAGATTTCTCACCCCAATATCGAGATTGCTGACCCTAAAATCGAGATTTCTGACCCCAAAATCAAGATTTCTCACCCCAAAATTGGGAATTCCGACCCCAAAATTGTGAGTTCTGACCCCAAAATTGGGAATTATTGGGATTTGGGATCCCAAAATTGGGAATTTTAACCCCAAAATCGAGATTTCTGACCCCAAAATTGGGAATTCTGACCCCAAAATTGGGATTTCTGACCACAAAATTGGGATTTCTGACCCCAAAACTGGGAATTCTGACCCCAAAATTGGGAATGGTTGAGATTTGGGATCCCAAAATTGGGATTTTTGACCCCAAAATTGGGACTTAATCGGGATTTTTTTGGGTTATTTTCAAGATTTCCCCCTTCCCCACCAAATTTTATGGGTTTTTTTAGGATTTCCCCCATTCCCACCAACTTCTATGGATTTTTATGGGTTTTTTTTAGGATTCTCCCCCATTCCCACCAACTTTTACCGATTTTTATGGGGTTTTTTTAGGATTCTCCCCCATTCCCACCAACTTTTACCGATTTTTACGGGGATTTTTTTAGGATTCCCCCATTCCCACCAAACCCCATGGATTTTTATGGGTTTTTTTCCCCCCGGGGTGTTTTTGGGGTGCCCCACTCACGCTGGGGGAGGTGTGGGGCGGCCTTGAGGCCCTCGGGGTGGCCCTTGGGGGGCTCCTGGCGCAGGGGGGGGCTGAAGGTGTCCCCTCGCAGCGCCGGCGACTGCAGCTTCTCCTCCTTGGGCCCCGCGCCCAGCGGCTGCGGCTGCACCACCGAGGCTGAGCGCAACTCCTGGGGGGATTTAGGATTGGTGTTAAAATCACTCAAAAATCACCAAAATCCCCATTCAAATACCAAAATCCCTATTCGGACACCAAAATCCCCGAATATCCCTATTCGGGCGCCAAAATCCCACCACCGAGGCTGAGCGCAACTCCTGAGGGGAAATTCAGGATGGCATTGGTGTTAAAATACCCCAAAATTCACCAAAATCCCCATTCAAATACCAAAATCCTGATCCTGACCCCAAAACCCCACCACCGAGGCTGAGCGCAGCTCCTGGGCGAGATATGGGATGGGATTGGAACTAAAATACCCCAAAATTCACCAAAATATCCCAAAATCCCCCAAAATCCCACCACCGAGGCTGAGCGCAGCTCCTGGGGAGATATGGGATTGGTGTTAAAATCTCCTAAAATTCACCAAAATCCCCCAAAATCCCCATTCGGACACCAAAACCCCACCACCGAGGCTGAGCGCAGCTCCTGGGTGGAATTCGAGATGGGATTGGTCCCAAAAACCTCAATTCTGACCCCAAAATCCCCATTCTGACCCCAAAATCCCTATTCAGATGCCAAAATCCCCCAAAATCCCCATTCAGACACCAAAATCCCACCACCGAGGCTGAGCGCAGCTCCTGGGGAGAGTTTGGGATGGGATTGGTGTTAAAATCCCACAAAATTCACCAAAATCCCTATTCGGACACCAAAATCCCTATTCGGACACCAAAATCCCTATTCGGGCGCCAAAATCCTGACCCCAAAACCCCCCCAAATCCCCATTCCAACCTCAAAACCCCACAATCCCGACCCCAAAACCCAAAAATCCCAAAACCCCACAGTCTTAATCCCAATCCTGACCCCAAAATCCCAAACCCCAAAATCCCAAACCCCAAATCCCGTTTCTCACCTGTTTTTTGGGCTGCAGGCTCTGCTGGGGGGGCGAAGGCGGCACCAGACCCTGGAACGGGGCCAACTGTGGGGACGGCAGCAGCAGCGGCGACGGCGCCTCCCGCAGGTGACCTGGGGACATGGGGACACCGGGACGGTGATCAGCAACCTCAAAAACCCCAAAAACTGGAGATCTTGAGATCCTCGAAGACTTGAGATCCTCAAAAACTGGAGATCCTTGAGAACTCCAGACCCTCAACACTGGGAGATCCTTGAGATGCTCAAGAACTCAAGATTCTCAAAAACTGAAGATCTCAAATCCTCAGAAACTGAGTATCCTCTCTTGAGATTGTAAAGAACTCGAGATCCTCAACACATGAAGATCATTGAGATCCTCAAAAACTTGAGATCCTCAAAAGTTGGAAATCCTTGGGATCGTCAAGAACTCGAGATCCTCAGAAACTCAAATCCCTCAAAAACCGGAGATCCTCAAAAATTCAAGAACCTCAAAAACTCAAGATTCTCAAAACCCAAAGAGTCTCAAAAACTCAAGACCCTCAAGAACTGGAGAATCTCAATACACGGAAATCCTCAAGAACTCAAGATCCTCAAAAACTGGAGAGCCTCAAAAAACTAAAAACGCCCAAAACCCATGCAGAACTCACGGGTGCTGTAGGGGTCGGCCTTGTGCTGCCGCGGTGACGGGTGGTGCTGGATCACCCGCGGCACCAGGGCCGGGTATTGAGACCCTCCAAAAACTGGAAATCTCGAGATCTTTGAGACCCTCAAAAACTGCAGATCTTGAGATCCTTGAGGACTTGAGATACTCAAAAATTGGAGATCCTTGAGAACTCCAGACCCTCAACACCTGGAGATCCTTGAGACCCTCCAAAAACTGGAAATCTCAAGATCTTTGAGACCCTCAAAAACTGCAGATCTTGAGAACTCCAGACCCTCAACACCGGGAGATCCTTGAGATCCTCAAGAACTGAGAATCCTCTCTTGGGGTCGTCAAAAACTCGAGATCCTCAGAAACTCAAATCCCTCAAAAACTGGAGATCCTCAAGAACTCAAGAACCTCAAAAACTCGAGATCCTCAAAAATTCGAGATCCTCAAGATCCTCAAGACCCTCAATATCTGGAGATCTTGAGATCCTCAAAAATTGGAAATCCTTGAGATCGTCAAGAACTCAAGATCCTCAAAAACTGGAAATCCTCAAGAACTCAAGGTCCTCAACATCCAGAATCCCATAAAACCTCAAAACCCCCAAAAACTGGAGATCCTCAAGAACTGGAGATCCTCAAGATTCAAAGATCCTCAGGAACTGGAGATCCTCAAAAATTTGAGATCCTCAAAACCCCCAAAAACTGGAAATCCAGAAACCTCAAAAACCCGTTGTGAACTCACCGGTGCCGTAGGGGTCGGCCTTGTGCTGCCGCGGTGACGGGTGGTGCTGGATCACCCGTGGCACCAGGGGCCGGGTATTGAGATCCTCAAAAACCTCAAAACCCCCAAAAACTGGAGATCCTTGAGAACTCCAGACCCTCAACACCTGGAGATCTTGAGATCCTCAAAAACTGGAAATCCTTGAGATCGTCAAGAAGTCAGGATCCTCAAAAACTCAAACCCCTCAAAATCTGGAGATCCTGAAGAACTCGAGATCATCAAAATCCAGAATCCCATAAAACTTCAAAACCCCCAAAAACTGGAGATCCTCAAGAACTGGAGATCCTCAAAAATTTGAGATCCTCAAAATCCCAAAACCCAGAAAACTAAAAACCCCCAAATCCCCATGAACCCATAGTGAACTCACCGGTGCCGTAGGGGTCGGCCTTGTGCTGCCGCGGTGACGGGTGGTGTTGGATCACCTGCTGCGCCTTTGCCGCCTGCGCCGGTGCCGCCTGCGCCGGGGGCTGCTGCGGCTGCGGCTGCTGCTGCTGCACCGGGGGCTGCACCGGCGGCTGCA